GGAACTTTTGTCAAATGAAACACATGTAAATTACATTGCAATCTGATCATACTTTCTTTTCTTTTTCTTTTGAAATTTGCTCTTCCTCACTTTTGAGTTTAGGAATAATCTTATATGCACAATACGTGGCTTGGCTTGGTTCACTTGATCACTTCTTATATCTCATCATCTCTGACTAATTTCTTCCCATTTGGTTGTGGGTCCCTTATATTAATTTCCTTATTTTGGAAATATGGGTTGTCATCATGAATGAGAGAGAGGACACCTACCAAAAGCATAGCCCATATCTGAGAGAGAGGACACCTACCAAAAGCATAGCCCATATCATCCCCTCGTGTACCAACTCTTTATCTCGTGACAAAATATTCAAAATATAACAATAATACTATATTAGTATTAATGATTTCTTATCACTAATTAATAATAAAATTTTAAATGGACATAGTAAATTTTATTTGGGTAAATATTGACTTACATGAAAGAATAATGGATGGTTATCTGGTTACATAAATAGATAGTTATTGACTTGTATGAAGTTCACTTCTTTACTTGTCTGTATATTATTAATTGGTGATACTATGTGACAATGCTGACGTGATATCACCGTTGTAATAAATATTTTTTCTTACCTAAGAGTACTCCCTCGAATTTGCGTTTGGTATTAAGTTAATCCTCATATGTTAATATCTCTCTATATTCAATCAAATGAGAGATTATATAATGGATTTGGTGGACTTGGATTCGAGGAATCAAAATATCAATTTGTATTTATAATTAGTCAGATTCAAATACGGATTTAAAACAATTTCAAATGATAATCCAATCTTTTAACAGGAGATTTAAAATATTACAAGTAGTTTGAGGAGTTTAATTTTATATTCAATCTAGAGCTTAAAAAGGAAACAACTCATTGGATTAGCAACACCAACAACTGTATTTCCGGTGAGTTAGGCCAACTCCCCTGTTGATGAATTAGATCCTCTCTTGTTAACCAATGGTGCTTTCTTGTTTTGGCACTTAAATATCTCTATTGCTCAACTTAATACAATTTCGATTTCTCGACACCAAAATGTTTTTATTTGAAGATGTACTAAAGAAGTGGTTTCAAAAGATATTGAAGGGTGATTGGTGCACGGGAGGGAGGATTATGATAATATAAGGGGATAGTTATATCGAAGGTGAATCCGATGAAAAGGTCTCTTGAGTTCTCATGCACACTTTTTGTATTGGAACGGCGTGAATTTTTCAGGCACATCCTTTTTTTTTTTTTGGCAGGGATTTTTTTTTTTTTTAGGCACATCCCTTGTCCCTTATCTTTTCATTTCAGTCGAATTTGATGATGTCAGTGGGCGAAAGAATAACTCGTTCTTCCCAGGGCTAGAACTCAGCAACACTTGGCATTCGCATCTTTTTTCCTCGACGTGCCTCTTTTCCATTGGCTTATTAGATCACATCTCGTCAATTAGCATGAAAATTTAGCGACCATTAATCAACAACTTGGAGAGAATTGCATTGTTAGAGTTATTAATTTGGCTGAACTTAAGCATGTTTAGATTTGGGTTGTTGTGGCTAGCTAAACTATACTATCAAACTTAAATTTGTGTTCAAGTTTGGCTTAGCAAAAGGCTTCAAGCACTCAAGTGGAATTTAAACGTATATTGGTGTTCAAGTTTGGCTTAACAAAAATTTTCGAGCACTCGAGTGGAATTCGAACCGTAATTGAGTTTAATTTTCCAACAAAAAAAATTCAATAAGAAAAAACTCTAAAGCTATAATAACTCTAGCTTCGAACTAAAAACAAGGCTTGAGTAGTTAGGATCTTTTAATTAAGTAAATATCTATATAACAAAGTACAATATAAAAATTATTTTTTATTTTTTGCAGTTCAAATCGTTTTAAATTTTACTTTAAATTTAATTCGACAACTAATATTAACTCTTTAAATTTAATAGAAAAAATAAGTTTTATAATAGTATGTTTAGAGTTACTTTTCAAAAGTACTTCTAGAACTTATGACTTCTTATAAACACTTAAAAAAAATAGTGTTTGGAACAATTTATTTTAATTACTTTCAAATAAGTCAAAAGTAGTTTTATCACTTAAATAAATAAGTAAGTAAAAATAAAAAAATAATAATAACTTTTACTTCTCTACAAAATATTTCACTACAATTGTCGCCGCTGCCACTCCACCACCACCCCCACCGCCACTATCATTGCCATTTCTACCACAACCATAATTACCATCGTCGTCACCCACTGTTGATTGTTATCACCGTCATCATTTATTATCATCATTATCTCATTCTTATATTTATTATCATTATTACCATCATCCTACCACAACCGTCGTACATCGCCACCACCCACCATCATTATTGTTGCCTATCACCATCCACTACCACAACTCATCACCACTACCACTCAATGTCAATCACCCCCATCACAACTACAACAACCCATTATTGCTATTACCCACCACCGCCATTCGCCACAAAGCATTCGTCGTCGCCCACCAATACCTTTGTCACCGCCCACCACTGTTATAATTATCGTCGTCATTCCGCCACCACCATTGTCAACCACACCCACACCCCAACACCATCATCGCTGTCACCCATGATTGCCACGATCACTATCATTACCCAAATTCATCACCACCATCATCGTTACCACCCACCACCACCACCACAATCGCTGCCGTCCACCACAATCATCATCGTCTCTCATCACCCCTGTTGTCGTTCACCACCACTTTTATCACCCACCCCCACTACGGTCGATGTTTAAATTCTTTTCTCACTATTCTATATATGTGTGATTTGATTTAGAATGTGTATATAAAATATTTATTATAGACAATTTTTTTTTACTACTCCGAACTTTCACGTAGGTACAATAATTAGTCTTGAATATTAGATCAATTATTCCAGTCCAAACTTTTCAGTAAACATGTGATCAATTAGTAGTTAATTAGATTATTTTTTTTCAAACTTATGAGTTGTGCTTTTAATGTCTCCACCCTGCATAATGATGTTCAATAGTACGCTTTTTTGTGATGTTTTGTTTTATTTTTCACTACTTGACAATAAATGACAGAAAAATATAGAAAAATAAAAAATATCATATCTTATAGGGTCCCACCCCCACATTGTTATGTGGCAATATCAAAATTTTGGTGGCTAACTTATTTATTTACTAGTCATAACTCTTGCCTAAAGACACAATAAAATATAAAATTCGAGCGTCCAAAAAATCGATCCCACTATATTAATTTTTTTAAAACTATATTAACTATAAATTAATCAAATATTAAATAATTAAATATATGATATAAATGAATTCTATAATATTTTTAGGGAGAAAATATATAAATGATTAAATATGTGATATAAATGAGTGATGTGATTTGACGTTTGAATATGACAAATGGATGATGGGTGAGGTACGTGATTTGTGATGGTTTTGAGGGGAAAAATATAACTAAATTAAATTTAAACACACTCCTGTTTTATTATATAAATTTATTGTGGCTAAGCATACCGACGTAAGAAAAAGCGGTGATATGATCTTCCATAAGTTTTGAAAATTGCTTTTTGTCCCTGTAATTTTTCTAAAAATTTTAAAACATTATTTAAGCTGTTTTTACTCGAGAGTATTAATCTTTTTCATATAAATCTTCCCAAACTAAGGTTTAGAAAGAATTGGGAACTTGAGAATTGTTGGGGGTTGTGGATCCAACATGTGTGATTTTTCTTTTATTTTTTAAATAATAAGGATGTGTTGATTAAAAAAAATATCATATTCATTTATCGAATTAATGTAAATAGTAGAATTAGTGGATTCCGTTAAAACAAATTAATGGGACCAACGAATTCAACCATGCAATTTGATTTTATTAATACATTTAATAAACTGTCTTGGTAAGCATGACAACATCTTTTTTAGATTATCAAAATTTTAAGAATTGTAAGTAAAATTTGTTTGTAGGAATTATTAAAGAGTTGTCCACTTCAAAGTAAGCTAAAATCTATCACTATATAAAAGGTTGGTAATGAGTCGTGGGAAATCAAATTTGTACTATGTATACATTATTTCGTGACAAAGTTAGTTCAATAAATACCAAATCTATTTATATTCGTGATAATCAAACTCGTATTTTTTTAAATTCAAGTTAACATAAATCTTATTCAGGTCTCACCTAAAAAGGAAAAATTCTTATTCGGAGAGATCTATATTTCATCCGTTCTTAAATATTTGTCGTTTTACATCAATTTTTTGTTCCATAATATCTGTCGTTTTATAAAAATAAAACATAATTAATATTTTTTCTTCCAAATTTACCTTTATCTCTGTTTTCCAATAAGTGCTTAAAAAATTAAGTGTAAACTAAATGACTTTCATTTTCTTTCTTTTCTAATACGTATTTGAGTAAAAATATTTTAGTCTTGTATAATTATTTTTTACTCATATTAGAGCTATTTAATGACTTTTTTAATCTCTATACAAAAATTTTAAACGATATATATTTAAAAATGAAAAGAGTATCAATTTCGTGTCTATCGGATTTAGGTCCTTCTTAAAAATTACCGACATTAATTGTACACCAAAGTAGCAACTAAAAGAAAGCAGGGGGTGTTTATAGAGTGTCGGCTCAGCCATCTATGATGCCATCTCTAAGATAATTTTTATTGAATCTGTCTGGCAATTAGAGTAGGTAAAGGACCAAATTATATTGACTTATTTCCAATTTTATTCAACAAATTACCAATAATACCCTTCAACTACCACCACGAGCCTTACCAGACACCATGTGCCTCCACCACGGCACGCCATCAACACCCCAACCCTATACCAAAACCTTCCCTATAAAAGCTCCTTTCCGAGACTTCTCTGCTCTCTTCAGGTACCACCCATTCCCACAAATAAGGGGTACCTTCTTTCCCTCTCCAAATCACACACACAGTGTCCAAGAACACAGACCCTTTTACCCACAAATCTATGGCTCTCACAAGCACCAGTACTCTTCTCCCCAACAAATCGATTGGTGAAACCCAATCTCTCCTACCTTCGTCCAAATCCCACCAATTTTCTCTCTCCACCAACCTTACCAAACCCACCAGATCAATCCAACCCATCTCGGCCGTCCATTCCTCTGAGCAGTCCAAAAACCCCATTGTCTCTGATAAGCCTCCAAAACCAACCACATCGGCTAAAGCGGCCACCTCAACGGCAACAACAACGGTGACAAACCCAGAAAGGGTCTCCAAGAAATGGACCGTGGACAGCTGGAAAACCAAGAAGGCTCTTCAACTTCCGGAGTACCCAGATCAAGAAGAGCTCGAATCTGTGCTCCGGACTTTGGATTCTTTTCCTCCGATTGTGTTCGCTGGGGAGGCCAGGCATCTGGAGGAACGCCTTGCTGAGGCTGCAATGGGCAATGCGTTTTTGTTACAAGGTGGTGACTGTGCGGAGAGTTTCAAGGAGTTCAATGCTAATAATATTCGTGACACTTTCAGGATTCTCCTCCAAATGGGGGCTGTTTTGATGTTTGGTGGCCAAATGCCCGTCGTCAAGGTCACATGTTTTGCCTCTCTCTCTCTCTCTCTCTCTCTCTCACTTGATATTGTGTTTGTGGTGAAATCGAATTGAATTTAAAATAAGGGTGTTGGTCATATAGGTGGGTAGAATGGCGGGTCAGTTTGCAAAGCCGAGATCAGACCCGTTTGAGGAGAAGGATGGTGTGAAGCTACCGAGTTACAGAGGGGATAATGTTAATGGAGATGCTTTTAATGCGAAGTCGAGGATTCCAGACCCTCAGCGGCTGATCAGGGCCTATTGCCAATCAGCTGCTACTCTGAATCTCTTGAGGGCTTTTGCCACCGGAGGATATGCTGCTATGCAGAGGGTGACTCAGTGGAATATGGATTTCACAGAGCACAGTGAGCAGGGTGATAGGTTTGTTCATTTCAACCTCAGTTTGATTTTTACGGTATTTGTTCATTCTTATTTGGCTTGGGCAAATTTTCTTGAAACTAACTTCATAGCACCTTATATAACAAAAACATACTAATTTTCTGTCGCTCTCACTAATTTGTTTTTTACAGTTTTATGGTTTGGTGTAAAGCTCTAAATACAGCACATGATGAAATTTAATCCTTAACTTGATCACCATACATTTAATTGGTGAATCTATTTCTAGAAATTACAAAAATTGAACTTTTACTTTTTTTTTTAAATCAGTGATTTGTTTTCTGGAAAACAAATCATGGGCTTCAATTAGTAGGATCGGTGAGTTAGGTTTATATATACTGGATTCTTATTGGTTCCATATGTGAATTGTGTGGCATTGTTCTTGTCGTGGCATGGCAGATACCGGGAACTAGCTCACCGCGTGGATGAGGCCCTTGGATTCATGGCTGCTGCTGGACTTACTATGGATCATCCTATCATGACAACCACTGAGTTTTGGACGTCTCATGAGTGCTTGCTTTTACCTTATGAGGCAGCACTTACTAGAATGGATTCAACATCTGGCCTCTACTATGACTGCTCTGCACATTTTCTTTGGGCTGGGGAGCGAACCCGGCAATTGGATGGCGCTCATGTTGAATTCTTGAGAGGAATTGCTAACCCACTAGGCATTAAGGTAACTGATGTTGTATAATTTAGATATTTTATAATATTTTGTAGGCGTTGTGTTTGTATTTGAATCCATGTGGCTGTTTAGGTGATTTGATTTACAAATGCCCAGTGAGATTAGGCAGCTGATGAAAATTGTTCTTATGCCACAGGTGAGTGATAAGATGGATCCAAGTGAGCTAGTCAAGCTCATCGAGATTTTGAATCCTCAGAACAAGCCAGGAAGGATTACAATAATCACGAGAATGGGAGCAGAGAACATGAGGGTGAAGCTTCCCCATCTGATCAGGGCAGTGCGAAGGGCTGGGCAAATTGTCACTTGGGTCAGTGATCCTATGCATGGAAACACTATCAAAGCTCCCTGTGGTCTCAAAACTCGCCCCTTTGATGCAATTAGGGTAAGATGTTTATCATCCTGCTTATATTTGTTGTTTTGCCTAGTGACATTCATAGTGAAGTCATGCAAAAGACAACTTCAGGCAGAAACCAGAATTTGGAAATTTGTTTTGTGTCATTACTGTATAAGATTTTGTACATAGGAAAATAAACTAACTGCACAAGTGTGATAAAAATAATCTGTATACTAATCTGACAATGTGCACAGTGCCAAGCAAAGCTTTTGTGTTCTAAATCTATTGCTCTGGTGTTTGCCATGTACTATCTATTTAGTTTGATTTTTTGCAATATGTTTCTGCTCAAAACTCATGGACAAACATATTTTGTGCCATTATAGGCTATTGAAAGTTGGGTAATTGGGCCGTAGTCTGGTCTGGAAATCTCTTCACTGGTCAATGATTGCTTCCATAAAATACTTAGTAACATTACCGTACTGGAATGTAACTTTCGGCAACATATAGAAAATGATTGTCCGCTGTAGATCTTTGTTTGGTTATATGTATTCTTTGAGCGCGAAAATTATATTATAAAGTGAAATAATAACAAGAAAAAATTATGTGTCACATTTTGATCGGAAAAAAAAATAGGTATCATACCAAAACATAACTTTTCAGTAACTTAGTCGGATAATAGAATATGTATTCATGACCATGTACATGATTTTGGAAAAGTGTCCATTCTGTTGGAATAAGTTAATCATTCAAAAACCGAGTGATTGAGACTTGACTTTTTCTTGAAGTGGGTCTACTGGCCCAACCACCTTGAATAATTGGACTTCTATCAATTACTCGGAAGCTAATTTTCATTTCCTAGCAAGACTTGGGACAAGAATGTGAAAAGATGTAGTAAGTAGGTAGGGAAATGCAAAACGTGGAAGAGGGGTTTAGGTGGAACAGTCAAATGAGATTCCTTGAACTTGTACGCAGTGATGTAAGTGAGAAATTTCTCTAGTGTATAAGCTGGTTGCGTGTCCTTATCAGTGAGTTGGCTTTGACTCTGGAACTCATTTTGGTAGTTGGAGGCGTTGTTATTATTTTATTTTATTGAAAGTTTGAAAATAACTGAGAATTTGGAGCTTGTAATGGGTTAGGCCTGGGGATGCTGATGTTAAATATTGAATTTAATTTTAAATTCTATCCGAGTTTCATGGAAAAAGGTCTCTATCTTCATCAAATTATAACAAGTGGTAATTCACCTTATAATAATTTTATATGTTGTCTTGACAGGCTGAAGTCAGAGCATTCTTTGATGTCCATGAGCAAGAAGGAAGCCACCCAGGAGGAGTTCATCTAGAGATGACAGGCCAAAACGTAACCGAGTGCATTGGTGGATCACGGACCGTGACATTTGATGACCTCAGCTCACGATACCACACACACTGTGACCCTAGGCTGAATGCTTCTCAATCTCTTGAGCTTGCGTTCATCATTGCTGAGCGCCTAAGAAAGAGGAGGATTGGATCCCAGCAGGCATTGGCGTAATAAAAGCTTGGAATGGCATATCAAGGCCCTCTGATGAGTTTCTTCTTTTTTATTTTAATATTGTCTGTAATGTTTTATTTAATTTGGATCTTATTAGTTTAAGACTACGTGATGTGTTCTATGTGTATACTGGAACTCTGGAAGAGAATGATGGTTTGAGACTTTGATAAGTGGGAATAAAGCATTGTGTGCTTATTAGGTCTGTGTATTTATACTTGGTGTTTTGGTTGCTGAGGAAGTATTTATCTTTTGGTACATAGTCTGGTGGAGTTTGTAGCCACTTCATATTTGGTTAGATGAAGACAAATACTGGTGTTTTTCTGAGACCCACTTGGTAGAACATGGATCAAGTATAAAGTAATGAGGTGTTCTTCCTAGGGGTGTAACTTGGGTTGGGCAACTCAAATTTAACTTGAAAAAATTAAGGCTTAGGCTAAGTTTTTTAATACTTAAATTGACTTTGGGTCACAAAATTTCAACCCAATTTTAATTTGGGCGGTCCTCAAGTTGAGTTATCAGGTTATGGGTTAAACTTGAATATTAAAATCGGGTCAACCCGATTTAATAATCAGGTTCAACCTGAATTAATATTATATAAATACAATTTTATAATTTATACTAGAGTTAATCTAAACTCAGTCTGCGCCTAGTGAGCTCGCATCGCCTCCACCTCTCTTCGCCATCTCTTGCTCATCACTCTCACTTTGGTCGCATCTCACTTAGATTGCCTCCACGTATGATCTATATGCTCTCTCTCCCTATCCCCCTCCTTTTCCGTTTTTAGATAATGAAAAATCATTTTAGACATGCCTCTCTGTCTTCAGATCTCATATGTCCCTCTTTCTCTGGTATGTCTTTTTTTCCCTCGCATCGGTCCTTTCTCAACTGGATATAATAGGAGTTATAGGTGTTGTTGAAGACATGGTTGAATAGAAGTGTGCATTTCTGTATAAATTAGAACTTTAAAACTAAGATTTCATTACTATGTATCTTGTTGATAGCTGCACAGTAAATGAAGTTGGTGTTTATTGCAGATTCAAAACTAGTGGAAAAATCTAGTATCCTGGTCAACCCGAAATCATTAATCCAAATCTAATCTGAACCCGTCCGAATTAAACTCGGACAATGCTTGGGTTGAGTCTATCAACCCAAGGTAGGGTTAGGGTTAAGGTTGAAGAGTATATACCTAGGATATATGTTTGATTTTTATATAATTGTATACGAAAGCACCTTTTGGGTCATTTTCAAATGCATTCTGGAACCTGCATATACTTGAGTTTGGTCTCAGCATATTCCTTCTGTCCAGTTTCTCTTACGTTGCCCATCATATTAATCGTAGTCATGTCAGGTTATTGTTTTTTTTTTTTTTTTTGGTTGTTGCTAAAAAGTGTCTAAACTTGTGTTAAACTATTTCTTCGAACTCTAAGTCGATCATCATAAATCGAGCTAATTTATGAACGTGTCTCAAAAAAAAAAAGAGTGATTGATCTTTGAAAGGTGTAAAAAATAATAAATTTGAGACCTTTTACTTTTAAGAGGACAGATTTAACCACCCTTAAGGGTTTATAGTTAATGCCAATGTATATGGTCATTTTCATGTTCATGTCATATTAATTTTATGCCGTGTGCATTTTAGTGGGTGTAAAATTAGCACTCCCATCTTTTTCACCTATAGGCCAGAGCTCGACGTGTAGTTGAATTAGTGAAACATGGAATTGCTAAATCAGATCCAAAATGTATAGAGCAGAATGTAAAGCTTGCGACAAAATTAAGCCACCAAGAGCATGCATCACAGTCGAATGCTTGTCACGGGTCCATTTTAACTTTGATAGAA